TATTTAATTTTTTAAAACAACCAGCATCTGACACTATTAAAGATACAAAATAGCTATACAAAAGCATGACTACTATCTTTAATCTAAACAAAAAAAAAAAAAAAGACTACAATTTACTAGTGATACACAACAGGCTTAGAAGGGATAAAATGTTTTTATCTGTATTCATATATCTTAGAATAGGGAATAATAAAGTAAATATGTAAAACAGGATTTTTTAATAAATAACAGAGATTAGCCCTTACTGCTACTGAATAAGGTGCCAAAACTAAATTAGGTTAGTTAACTTTTATTATGACTAGCCACACAGCGTACCATATATAATATGAACTAATTTTTACTGTTACAGCATGCTGAATAGAAGAATTAGAACCTTTACTGTTCGTGGGTTTTATTAAACTTAATCATTTTATCCTCTATTTGCTTCTGTCATGCCATGTGTAAATTGGGTGCCAGCTAATAGCTGTGGATTAACTTCTAATGGATTTGCATCCCATCCATAGAGAATTAGACACCATTCTCACCCACTTGTACCACAGAAACAAGAGTTAAGCATCGGCCCTATGTTCCTTTCAATCATGGAATGAATTAACTTATCTTGTTAATCTTTTTACCTTAAACTTTATTATTGCTGCCCATACATTAGCACATAAGGTTGACTGATATTTACTAATACTGTTCATGAGGCACTGTAAACAAGGTACCCTAGACTTTAATGTTACTGTCTTAAGTTAGCATAAGTAAGGCAGACTAAAATGTTCTACACTTAGGTAGATTACCCTTTCCTGGTATCAGGCAGGTGGTAGCACTGCCTACGTGGGGATGGCTTGGATTGTTCATCAAAATGGTATCTTAAATATCTCCTTAATAGGTTATCAGAACTAACAACACTATACAGTGTTTCATTTTATAACACTATCTACCTAATGACTGAAGCACAAATTCCAGAAATGTCTGTAAGTATAACAGAACAAAGTTTGAATTTCTTGCTCTTCTTTCTTCTGCTTCTTTTATATTACATGATAACTCAAAAACTAAATCAACGGTGTCAACCAATTTCAATGAGGTGACATAGTTTCAAATGGAGTATCCACTTTTATAAATATTATTAAATAGTGGTAACTAAAAAAACAGCATAATTCTAGTGTAAATGATGTTATCATTACCCCTTGAAATTAACTTTCTTACACAAATTTGGTGTTCCTTTAACCCTACCAACACGGGTCAAAGGCCATGTCAACGCATTTATTGACTTGCATTCAAAATATTATTGAATTACTATTTTATGAATGTATGTCAATAAGTTTGATATCAAATTGTACATTATATTTCAGATTTTAGTAGTATACATTAATTTCTTAATTTAAAAGTAAATATTAAAAAGTAAAATTATATATATCAATTTTTGTGTGTCACGTGATATTTTGAGTGCTGCATTGGTTCAAATTAGATGTTTATAGTGTCCATGTACAAAGTCTACAATTTCTTATGAATTAGATACTCAAATTTTCAATATTGACAAGCTAGAATATAAAATTGAACCTCCTATCTTTTCTATTTGATTTTTTATACTTTACCATCCTCACTGCTTCTTTTAAGCGTGTACCTAGTTCCTAAAACCTATTTCCTTTCTTGATCACAGGTATTAAAAACCAAGTTTTAGCATTATAAGCCGTTAGAGTTAACACTGAGCCACTGGGGAAGGGAGCTCCTCTAGTGTTCCAGCCTTCAAAACTAGTGCCAGGCAAAGCCACAGGGCACACAGATTAGAATCTGGTCAACAATTTTATAACTAAAAGACATTAGTGTAAACAGATAGTTTGTGTGTGTTTGTGCACTTGTTTTTCTTTGTTTTCTGCATCCAAGTTATTTTCTGAGATATTAACATATTATTGAATCAACATAGGTGGCCCCACCCACCTCTTCAATTTTTGAAAATACTTGCTTACGTACATCTACTTTGCCTAATGACATGTGTATAACCAAATGGTTTTCTCAGCCTGTGCAAAGTATTTGCATGGCAAACTCTTTCTATTCATGCTAGATTCCAAGCACTAAAGTAAGACATTAGTGAGTTTGAAATTTCATATTTTTTTAGACCCAAATACAGCTTAGTTTCTGAACTTGATAAATTATAGTGGAATTTTGTGGTATTGTTATAGTCATTTATGATTTTTGGTTATTTCGAAATGTATATATAAAAAACCTAAAAAAAATTATTTCATTTCACATCCTCCACATGCAAAATTTTATAAAGATGAGCAACTTAAGGCAAGCGGCAAAACGAGTACAAAGTTTATAACTAGAAGAGATAATTGCTATACTTCTTTATTTCCTGTTCTATGTTTTAAGAAAAATAAGTTTAATAACTTATTTGTAAATAGTAATAATGTATTAGGTCGTCAAAGAAATTAATGTCGCATTTTAGGACACTTTCTTTAACCACCCCCAAAAAAGCACATCACGTGCAATAGTTAAAAGAACTGCCAGAATGTCACATTAGTGTAGCCTATATAATGTGTAAAGTT